AGCTCAGTACATTTTTTTTTTCACCCGAGATAGTCAAAGTTGGGGAAGAAAATATCAAAAAGTTAAAAATCCAGAAATAGTCCTAATTTTACGATGGTTCCTTAATATATTTTAACTACATTGCATTTGAGTATGGAGAGGCAACTATCTGGAAGTATTTTACATAAAAAATTTACTAAGTATTGCCCGGTTTGTAGTTGCAGTTAAAGAAAACACATGAAAAGGCACAATTTTTTTTTAAATTCGAAAAAATGTAAATATTTCAAAAACGGTGACACTTTTACCTGAAAATTTTTTGTTTATCAGGGAGCCCACCCCCCACCTACCTTCCCCTAAAGTTTGGCACGTTACTTCTGGGACACCCTGTATAACGTATTTAAGTTCATACATAAATAAATTTACCACCACCCCAAATTCACGCTTTCATTTTAGTATACCGGAGAAGAAATGTTTGCAGAGCTCTACGACTGTAACATACGATTAAAATTAAAAGAATTTTGATACAAAAACAAAATTTGCTTAAGTACATTAAATGTTTATTTTATGAGTTTATTTCAAGGCAAGTCTAATGGAAGTAAGTTTCTACTATTCGCAGGCTGGTAGTTCTTGCTTGTGTTTGTAAGTGGTTTTGTGATGTTGAAATATTTTCATTGGATTCATCTAAATCTATATTTGTTTCAATTGCTTCGGTTACTGGAACATTAGCTTTTAATAGGATATTGTGGAGTACTATACAAGCGTTTATTATTTTTCCTGCTTTTTCTGGTTCTTTGTCGAGATAAACATCGAAACCGGCCGCTCAACTATACATCGCGTTTTCTTATGTGCCACATTATATCTTTCTTCTTCTTCATTTGCTGAATTAGCTATAGGAGTCATCAACCATGGTTGGAGTGGAAATCCCCTATCCCCTAGCAACCAGTAATTACGATGACCTCTCGTGTACTTTTCTTTTAGATAATTTTGAATTGCCGAAGTCCGCCACATGTATGCATCATGCGACGTACCTGGGAACTTCGCATTGGCATAGCAAATTTGGTGTTTTGAATCGCAAATAAGTAATAAGTCGATGGAATGACCACCTATAGATGTACACAATTGACTGAGTATAACTTTTCAAATTGAAAGTAAAAAAGCTTAACTTTTCTACAGTAGTATAAACTTTCTAGATCTCCTTTAGGTGCTATAATTTTGATGTGACTCCCATCCATTAAGCCAATTATACCCGGGAATCCATATTTTTGGTAAAATTCCGCTTTTATCGCAGGTTCCTCCGCTTCATTTGGAAACCGCACGTAAGTCGCTTGAATGGTTGTGACTTCCTCAACACATCTCCTGACAGTCGTTTGTGATAAACAGGACAAAAAATCTTGTCCTATCGGGCGCTGGTAGCTTCCGGTGGCAAAAAATCTCAAAGCGGACAACATTTTCATATACGTAGGAATAGCAGTATTTCGTCTCGAAGACCGGAAAAACGGCGAAAGCTGGGCTAGGGTCTCGTTGAAAATAGTTTTTGGAAATCTATATAACTATAAAACGCTCGTCGCTTATCTCAAATGGATTTTGCACATCTCGCAGATTCCTTCTTTCCGGCTTAAATACAAAAATAACCATTTGCATACATACGTACCTACATGAGAAGAGTATTTAACATAACTAAAACACGTTATCACACCTTTGTCTACGCCGCAATCTAAATGCAATAATATTTCCACTCATTAAGTCTATTATGTTTTTCAATGTTAGTGTTTGGTCTAGAACCAAATGTGATAACATTCACTTTTATTTCTTGCAAAATAATTTTGTAACACACTGTAGTATAAGTTAAGAACTGTCATATTAGTATAAGTACTCAATAATGAGATTCTCTCATACTCTCAATTTCACTCATTTTCCAATTCCTTCTATTCTTAAATTGTCAATAGCTTTGTGAAAACGATACTTCAAATAAATTGTTGACTTCACTTCTTCTGTAAAGCGTACGCTCGCCGTTTTTTACTTCTACGTTCATCCGGATTCGTACTGCAACTTATAGAGTTTTCGGAATCGAAGTAAATAATTATTTCTGTACAAACCCAAGCCGAACCATAGGGTCGGAATTCGCCAAAAAATCCAGTTTTTAACGAGTTCCAAGGTGTCAAATTAGGCCTCTTTTTCATTGGCGATCCTGCCAGGAGACTTCGCATAAGTTGTCCT